TAGGGCTCAAAACGTGTTTGCTGAAAAACAGTACAAAGCCAAAACAACCAACAGGCAGCTTTAAGTCTTAGGGAATTTTAAATAATTTTCCTGATGATCTTAGGTTTTTTTTTCACTACAGAAAAATGCATCTGCTCATCCTCACATAGACTCTGTGTGTGTGTGTATATATATTTTTTTTCTTTTTTTAAATTTGATGGAGGGGCTGGGTCTTAACAACCACCCACCCCGGTCCAGTACTGCTTCCTGCGCAGCACCGCTGGTCTGCATGCAAAATGCTGACATGCAAATGTTTTACTAATGCAAAGGCAACACTTTAGAAAACAAAAAGTCCAAAGGAAAACCACAGCACGCCTTGGCTTCTAAGTCTCTATTTTTGTGTGTACAGAACTGGACGGCCCCTAGCCTTGCATTTCATGGCAGCTCTCGGTGGCCGAGGGCAGCTATTCCCCGGGAGAAAGCCGGGGGAGACAGGGCGTGATGCTGACGGAGCAAAGCCCCTCTTTGCTACGACGGGAGGGACGGCTCGGAGCCGAGCGACGTAGCTGGGGGGGGGGTGCGTGAACCCCAGCTGAATGAACGTCCCTCCGTCCCTGGTCCCCTGGGACACTTGGGTGACGTTGGGAAAGGTCTGCAAGCCCGGGGAGGCTTTGCAAGCCCGTGCTTGGTGCAGAACAAATGCCAGTGCGGCCGGGAAGCGGGCGCCTCGTCTCTGCCTTGTGCCTGTATCATAGCGGGGGAAAGAAAATAATCGCTGTAAATAGGAAAAGGGCACTGTATCGCTTCGCGGGTCTGCGTGGATTGAAAGTGATCGTTTACTGTCCGAGATGAACACAATGTGAAAAGAAAATTGGGGCCTGGAAAACTTGGGTGGAAGGTTTATTTTTCCGGTGATGCTTTTGTTTGTTACATAACCCCTCTCCTGCCCGAAACTCCCCTACGGCTATTAATCTATCTCGTATTTTGTAATAAAATTTTATCACGTGGAGACGTGGTCTTTCTTCTGTTCCCTCCCGTTGCAAATGCCCTTTTTGCCTTTACCTGCTGCTGCCTGTGCGTGTGTTGATTTTACAGGCGTAAGAAAAAGGAAAAAAAGCTTTTTTTTATTAGGTTGGATTAGGAAAATGGGTATCCGAGGAGGGGAAGGATCCGCGCGTGGTACGAGCCTGGAGCACCAGCCAGCGCTTGTGTCGTTACATGGCCTAAGCTGGCGCTTTGGAGGGATGGCGAGCCCGTTCTCAAGCCCATGTTCCAATGCTGTGCAAAGAAAAAGGAGGGGCGGGACACTTTTGGGTTTGTTTTTTTTTTTAATCCCCTCCGCCTTTACTGTGTGCTCCCATTTTTTGCCCTGTGAGGGGAGAAGGGGGGGGGGCACGCGAAGGCCAAGCGGTTCCGGGGGAGCAGGAGCGGA